CTTTCATAGCATCACTCCAAACTATAACTGCACAAACATTTATTCTAGCGTCATATCTTACTGCAATTATAAGTTATTTTTTCTTAATTATTTTTTGTTACTAATTTAACGATACACACATAGTCGTTTATTCTTGTTCTGTGTTCGTAAACACGCCTATTAGACTGTTTGCGCATTTCACGTCTCCTTTATTTCTATTCCCTTATTTTCTGCATTTCCTTCTTTAGACTCAATTCAATATTCTTCTCAATTGCACAGACCCGATTTATTATTATTAATATTCTACTATTATTGCTCAAAAATTTTTTTAAATGGCCAGTAGAATGCTGACATTATTGAAAATTGTGTATTATTGCATTTTTTTGAAGAAACCCGAAATGGTTTCTTCACAACACTTATGTACCCATAAGATGTTTGTGAATAATAATAATAATAATGATAACAAAAGTGTTATATCTAATTAACAAGGCCATAAATTGTAAATAATATAGTTTTGAGGTTAGATTTGTGTGTCTTAAATGTATTTGAATGAAATTGAGAGTAGATTTGGTATGATAACTAGACGTATTCGAAGTATTGTGTTTACTAGGAATTCCCGAAATAATGAAATTTAAGGCAGGTAGAACTAGATGATCATAAACGAACGTATTGTACTTGGAATACGTAATAATCAGGGAATCAAATACAAATGAGTTATTATTTCGTACAAATACCACATTTCGTTCAGTTAGTCGTTTACAATCTATGTACTAAGTTTGATAATCTTTCAGTAAGGTCGTCCTAATCACCCGCCTTCCGTAATTTTCACAGCATTTATTCAGAATAACTGTAATTCTCTCAAAATCCCAGCTTAGACTGGTTGTGTAAACTTCCTGCACGATTTTTTGTGTTGTTTCTTAATCCCAGTACAACTATGCTGAATGCAGCTGAAGATGTGCAAGTACTCGGAGTTTGACAACGTATTAACCAGCAGCACCTATACAATCGGAATATGTCAATCCAGTGAAATCAGAAGTCAGGAATGAAGGAGTTTGAAGATTTATTTGGAATTTTATCTGTATGTCGAATGAACGTTTTGTCTAATCTGGCTAATGGTTGAAACGGATGTGTGGCACGACATACCCACTCGTAATCTGGTGCGGATACGTGACTGAGCGTCTCCAGCTAGATGTGTCATTTGAAACTAATGAGGTCAGCACCAAATACGGAAGCCTTACAGAATGATTGGTTTCTGGGATTTATTCACCACAACGCATTAAATCATCTATGTTTCTTACTCATCCAGCAAAAACTAACGTTTCTACCGATACTCATGTTTGCACATTTATCATTTCAAAATTTTGAAAGATCCTTGTCGCTTTTATGAAACCTGTCTGCGCACACATATTTTTATTGTTTTCATAAAGTTCTTAGTCTTTTTGCATGCAACTCAACAGACATGAGGGACGCACGAAATAATTTTGAGTGTCTCACTTGTCATTACAGATGCAAAGTTTGTGTCTCAGACACAAGTTATCATGAGAATTTACATTTGTTCATATTTGATACTATCATTCTGAATCTTTTCAGTGTCCGGATCTAGTTAATTATTCTTCAATAACTTTTTGAAACAAGCATTATTGGACGTTGTATTTCATTTTACCTGCAATGAAAAAATAAAACGATTTGTAACCATGTACATTTGATTATCTGCACTTTTTATTGCCAACTGCATCAGAATATAGTTTGTATTTAAACCGACTTTATTGAAGCATATGGTCGATATTCAATTGGGACCCCCAACCTAGTGTTCCAACAGCCTTACTATCGACTTGACCTTGTAAATTACTCGCTTTAAACTCATATAGCCTGACAAACCAAGTATTATATAAAACTCGGATTTGGTAACTCTGTATAATAAACTCTCGTGGTCATTAGATGTCATGGTTTTGACGTGTTTACATCAAGTTACATACATACTTCGCCATTTCATAAGGACTTGACTCAACGATCATTATCTTCTAAGTTATTTTCAGTTCATTATCACTAACATGTCGAGACTGAATTCCATCAGTCATATATTCTTTTTCAAGTGAATAGTTATGTTACCTGATTACTGACCCCTGTTACACCTCGTCGAGGAACATAGGTCAACTACCAACATTCTCCATTCAACTCCTCCTGATCAATCCTTCCCGGTTCTTTACAGTTGCCAATCATTCTTTGTTCTTCCTTCTCCCTCCAAGATTCCAAGTTGGCGCTTATCCCGTGATGCAGTTTGTTGATTCACTCAATGTATGTGCTATCCAACTCCAACATTGTTCTCTACCACAGTTGGTTGTTGCCGATGGTATCCAACCAACGGATAATGAGTATGTTGAGCAGGCAATTGTTTATAAGAATTTGTACCATATTGATGATGGTTGCGGTAGTTCCACAAATTTAATCTGCATGTAGTAGAACTGTCTTGATGTTCGTACTGAAGATTCTGACTTTGAAATTTGTTGAAAGTTGTTTTGAGTTCCGTATGTTCTTCAATGGCAAAACTGATGTTCTTGCTTCACCAATCCATGCCTTTACATCAGTATCACATCATTCTTGTCCGTCAATGATGCTGCGTGGGTAGTTACGTGAATGTTTCCGCCTCTTCCAGAGTTTCTCTATCAAGGGCGATTGAGTCTGTTCTTGAGGATCTTGTTTCTTCCCTTGTGTGTGTTGAGGCTTACTGATTCAGAGGCTGCTGCTACACTGGTCGTCTTCACCTGCATTTTTTCATGCGTATAGCCTAGAAGATCTAGGTGATCTGTGAAGTCCAAACCGTCTAGTTGCATGCAAGTTGTCCATTGTATTCCGGTCTTCCAAATTGTCTGGACATTCCATGTGCATATATTAATTTTTGCTCTGTTTGTTATAAGGGGCGTCGACCTGGTGAATTTCAAAGAATCTCGGCTCTCACCATGTGGTGTCATAATCCTCCTCAACAGAGGTCCCTCAAATCCCAAGTCAGAGTTAAAAATGTTTTAATTTGTTTAATCTGGTTGGCGTTTTTTAGTAAGGCTGTTTTCCATAGGATGGGGTGGTTAACTTCCTGTTCAACTCTCCTCCTTCACCCATGTTTGGGAAAATCAGAAGCCCTAGAAGAGCTTAAGGCGGAGTTGAATAGTTATGTATTAAGTTCTAAGTCAAAACTCTTATGTCATTACATAGTAAACATGCTCTAGTAACTGACTTGCCACCGGTAGACTTCGTCCCGTACGGACCCATTGCCGAATACCACGAACGACACCTTCGTGCTCTCTTCAGTTTCTACGGGCTTGTTACGCCATCGAGAGATGTAAATGACGACAATCCAATTGTAACGTGTTTAAAGCTCATCTCCGCTCAACTTGTACTTCTTCAACAAATAGTGCGTAAAAGATAACCATGGGTGTCGTACAGTAGTTACAAGGCTAGCTTCTTGTGGAATATCACCAGTTCCATCTAATTTCTACACAAACTGAAGTTGCGATGTTTCAGTATGCATCTGGTTGTGACTACAATTTCAACTGACATTCACACCCTGAAGCTGAGGAGGTATGTTCTATTTTCATTCTTATTTCTCATAGTTCCAAGAAGCTTTAAGCTTGCTATCTTCACACTTCAGAAGTGTTGGAGATGTAGAACATCACTGCGCAAAACCTGTGTGGATTTTCACAGGGATTCTCAAGTTAGACAACATCAGCTCCAGCTCAGCTGACGTCGGATTTACACCTCAAATTTAATGCCTAATATGAATAACCCTTTTGTCCTATTCAGGTATTATTACCGATTTGAAGACTATACAGTAAAAACATACAGTTTCTGCAGAACTTAATTAGCAAGAATAAGTACAAACAACAAATTGCAACCACTTTTGCATGCGTCTGTCCACAGTGTCCGGTCGATTGATGCACGTCGGCTGTCTCTGATGTTGAGGAGGACTAACAAACTGCTCGATATTATATGAAGCACCCGCCGGGCAATCTGGCTAGAACCGAATGTCGTTTCACCGGTTTTATAAGAGAATATGACCTCAGCATGTCGTGTTGCCTGTAGTTTCCTTCATTTACCCACTTAGGTACTAAACTGAACATAAAAAGTTACCATCTTACCATGGTAAACAAATAACCTCACATGACAGTACGTGTAAACGTATTTGAGGCTTAAATCAGTAGTTACTACAATCACTCCCTACTGAATCCTTCGAAAGAAGGCTCAACAATCCCTATGATTTAGAAGGGTAGCAGAATTTCAGTGTTTTTCATACTAACATTCCGGAAAGTCTTGTACAAGGATATTGATGACAATCAAGAGTTGAGAGTAAAGAGAGGTGGAAGTATATCTGAGTAACGGTTGATGTGACTGATTGCATTCAACGTAGGGTGACAGTCGTCATAATAATCGTTCGCTGTTATGTACTCATACGTGGTCTGATACTGATGCTCTACAGAGCCCCTTCTGCTGTGTTCAGTAGAACTAATGAGACCAGCACCAATGTCGGAGACTAACAGGAATGTTTATTTTGGGGGCTTATTCATCTTTACTGTCCGTAAGCACTGTAAGGAATCGCTTTTATTATTAGCTAAATCTTTTGCCCTTCAGTTCTAGGAGGAATATGACAGGAATTATGTCTTAACAAACAAAACCTTTCATTTAAGAGAAAACTTGATATAGTCTTAAGGACTAAGAATAGTATTTTACAATGGTCCACCGATTTATTTTTCCTCGTTTATCGTTAATATTCCTAGGTTCCTGCCTGAAGTTATTGGCGATCCACTGCTACTAGAAACGGAAGCCCGTTAAGCGAGAGCTGCTATTCAGTTCAACCATTTGAACCATTTGAACTCTAATAATTGAGTATCTGATATTTCAACGACTAAATGAGGGCATAAAACGACTAAAACGACAAGCTTTTCAAACTGTTAACATTACTTCCTAAGGTTTATAATCATATTTTAATACATTTTGAACGTTGTGATATTGGACCTATCAAAACGCATCCTGTCCTTTTCGAAATCAAACGTTGCAATTACAGGCTTCCCGCCAGTTCCGTTAGATTTCTTTCGTTTCATTAATAAGTTTTCTACTGATGTCTGTACAGTCTGGCAAGTCAGCAGCTGTAGACTTCTGGTGTTGGGATGAAGTAGTTCGCAAGACTAAATCTACAGTTCTTGTTCTTGAGTCTCTGAGATCAGAACAACAGCAGATATCTGCTGATTTAGATTTAATAGCGAATTCAAAAGACGCCGATCAGCACGATATTTTATATGCCAAGGAAAAAGCATCTTCTTTGGATTCAATCATTCAAAAAATTTGTAAAGGTTTGGATGATGCCAACGTGAGTTGTTGCAAGGTATATAATATTTCTGTTAAAGGTTGTAATATTATTTTGTGACTACCTTCAAAAAGTAGAAGCAGAAAAACAAAAGTTACGGTATCAAAGTCGTCGGCTTTTTCAGGAGAACTCTTGGTTGAGAGATGAACTTGCGGTTGCCCAAGAAGCACATAGGAAAAGTGAACTAAAGATAGTTCAACTTGAAGAAGAAGTAAAGCATCTTCAATTTAGCAGTGAATTGCGAAAATACGACTCTTCTGAACCCGTGGAATCCTCGGGACTAACCGATGGTGAGAAAAACAATGATAAAACTGCCCTTGATCTTGGGTTTCCTCCTGATGATAAAGAAGAAGGAGATCAGTATGGTAAGATGATTTTGTGATAAATTGTGTTTACTCAATGTCATATATCTGGATGTATGAAGTTGATTCTAATAGGATAAGCACGTAGAAACAAGGACGAAATCTTAAGGAATTATTTAGAATGCTGTTTTGTTATGAGTGGGGTCTTAACTGTGTATACTCCTCAACGGTGGAGAATATTTGTTGTACAGGATGAGGATTCAAAAAGACAATCAAAGGTTCTCTATTAAACCATCCAACTCAGAGAACGGAGTTTTATTCAACATTGTCATGAAGTTAGATGTTGAATACACCTAGTTTGAAATGAAAAACGATTGGTTTTGGACAATGTATTAAATTTTTTTGTTTACGGTACACCTAATGATTACCGAGTAACACTATAACATCGATAGCTTGCCTGGACTTTTTTATCGCTTAATCTTATTGCAGTTGTGGTTTCGTCCTGACAATTTTGTGTCTAAAGTTCATAGTATCATTCATGGTCAGCTTAGTGGTAAGTACCTAATCAGATTTCTAAACTGATCAACTAACAGTCACATTATGTAGCCTCATGTGCGAATTTTCTCAAATTTAGGGATAGAACATTCTCAGCTCGAACCCGTATGTTTGAATTAGACAAGAATCTTCACTAGATGTAAACTACCTATACTATGTCATACAGTAGTCAAAATCCATTGCTTAGAGGTTCTTTCACATTCAAACCGTGTAACATATACACTTATGACCTACTATTTACACTTTATTCATTGGTTTTACTTTCACTGACCATGTGGTAACATAAACCATGAAGTGTAATTACCGTTTGATATGCACTGGGACATAGTTAATGAAACTTCGATGGAAAGTCAAGTAGGCAATGCACTACACACTTTTCCCTCTTGTTGTCTAACCTATTGTTAAGACAAGGCAATATATGGGAAACATTTCAGAATTAATGGTTGGGAAATACATATATGAAGTTATAATATCGTACTTCAAAATGTCCAGTTTTCTGTCTAACGTGGCTGTATCATTTGATGGCTTTAAAATCACTCGGGTATGAGACCAATCCCTTGAGATATATGAGCGAGTTAGTGATTTCAGGAGTCTTTTACATTGTAAATTTATAACTCACCCCACTAATACATCACAGTTTTGACTCCTAGTTTTCCGGCGACAATTTAGGTAACTATATCCTCAATCCATACACAATGGTCTTAGCTCATAACCTTGGATACAAGCATGCATTTGATCAGTTGACAACTCATGTTTGTGTTATGCTTATCGAGCCCAACTTTGGTAGTCCTGTAAATTGGTTTTTATATTCTGGCACCAAAGTTTCATTTTATTCCAAAGCCAATGTGTAGATTAAATCCTTATATTATCGAAGTAATTGGAAACCACCTTGTTATAGACCGAAAATTATTGAGTATCTGCTGCATGACTGAAGGAGAATTTTTTCAGTCTCTTTAAAATTGCTATCATTCATAATATTCATATTGGTTGTATCTTTTGAAGTGTATAATCCCTCATGAATGATCTGATCCTTTTGCTGCATGTTTATTTAAATATAAGGTTCAGCAAATTTCTAACCCAAAACAGTGATAAAAGACGATCGTGTGTATGCTTATTGTTGCTTTATTCTCTTTCCAATAAATTATTGTCTTGTGGTTTCTTAACTTAGGAATGACACAGAGTCAAACCGTCTCCATGTCACAGGGTGTTCATAATTACGAAATACCAACGCGTTTGCGAACACTTCATAATTTGGTAATACAGTATGCTAGTGAAGGTCGTTATGAAGTAGCGGTCCCACTGTGCAAACAAGCTTTAGAGGATCTCGAAAGGAACAGTGGACGTAATCACCCTGATGTTGCGACAATGCTGAATATTTTAGCTCTTGTATATCGGTAAGTAATACTTAATCGACCACATATTTCTTGTTTAGTGATCAAGGAAAATACAGAGAAGCTGCAACATTATTGAATGATGCCCTAACGATTCGAGAAAAGACGTTGGGACCTGAACATCCTGCTGTATTTCCTCCATTTTAACCTTTATGCATATGTTTTAGGTGGCTGCGACTTTAAACAACTTGGCTGTGCTTTATGGTAAACGTGGAAAATATAAAGAGGCGGAACCATTGTGTAAAAGGGCTTTGCTAATTAGGGAGAATGTAAGTCAATTTTTCACGCTCGTTTAACTTAGTAACTTTTGTTTCTCCGAATTTTCGAAGATTATTTATCTAATGCAAAATTCGTTAGTATTAAAATGAGATAAATCACCATTCCACAGAATGTGTACAGATGTGTAAATTCATTGGTTTGCTAACTTCTTGAATATTCAAGTTTTTATTTCATTGTTGGATCTCTAAAAGACATAACGTTATTCGTTTCTTATAAGAATATGTTAACTAATAATCTAAAAGTATTGTCCTTTGTTCATTTGTTGGTTCACTAAATAGGTTGTTGATTTGGCGGAGGGTACTTTTAAATATGATACTGGTATTGTTTATATTCGCTGTACTAAGACTATTGTAGTGCAGTATTGTGTTGTTGCCCCATAGTAATAGTTAACAAATGACTTCTTTCGTTCTCGAAACACCAAAATTCAATCTTTCAAACTGTATTTGATGAAGTTGTTGCAATGCTAAGCTTACGAAAAACTAACAAATTAATGAAAATATTATAAAGTGTTAGTGTGTGAACATCCAATCTAAGTGGTTATGATGTATCCAGCCTTAGATGAGAGAATACATTCTTATCAGTGAGATACATTTTTCACTATTATTAGTTACTATTTAATTTCTACCTTTATGTCCCGACCGTTGTTGCTACTAGTATTTGACCACAGATGCCTTAGAAATATTGTTGGCGTCTGCTGAGATCACCGGGTAAGTAATAGTGAAGTTAGACGCAGGGTATTAGGGAATGATGGTAAATCAGTTGATGAGGTTATGAATCTTCATCTACTGAGATGGTTAGGCCACGTGTTACGTATGCCCGAACACAGATTACCACGATGTACAATGCTAACCGGTGTTGGAGATGGTTAGAAGAAAGTTAGGGGCGGCCAAACCAAAACGTGGCATCAGTGCCTGAAGTCACTAACTTCTAGTCTTAGCCATGTTGGTAGATGCAGACTACTTGGTTGGGGTCCGCGTGACTATCGTAACCAATGGTTGGAGACTCTTGGTGACATGGCTCACAATCGATCACAATGGCGTAGGCGAATACTCTCTCTGTCTTCCCTTAAACTAAGAGATTAAAATCGCTTCATATCTTTCTTTTCACTAACTGATTCTTTCTTCCTGCACTATATTCTTATTGCAATCTTTCTTTTATATATTACCACCTCTGAATTAACTACTTTTATGAATCCAGTGTCTATCTTGTTGTGTTAATGAGGTATGGCAACTTGGACCGATGCATGTATGTGCCTGGTCCTACGTTGTAGCTGACTGACTACCTTTATGTAGACTCATTGTACTAAGCCTATATTTTCTTGTAGTTTCAGTATCATATCTTAATTTGACCATCTCAGATCAATACAGTTGTCTATGAATCCAAACAATCCACTAAACCTTCAAACAGTCAGTCATAATCAAAGCGGACTAACAAAAACGTTGGCCAACCCAAGTTACGATGCCACATCAACAGGACTAAATGAAATTGACTGGATCAATAGCAAATGAATCGTATTGATTGCAGTAGCGCTAATAGTGAAGATGGAATGGAGAAATATGTAGTAAAAAAGTCTAAGTCTAGAGAAAGATAAAGAGTGAATGTACCTGGAGTCTATCTACCAATACGTCTTTTTGTCAAATACATATATAGATAAATCAAGGTGACGCACTGATATTTGGGACTCAGTGTCTACTCAAGAATAACTCAAACTAAGAACTTTCTGACGACTACAAATACACACTTCATGTTACAAACTGTATCCCAAATGTCACAAATACGGTACTACAAAATAAATGACGAATATTCAATAATTCCAGATCTATTTAACACATAGTATCCGAAATTATCCAGAGATTAGAATAAGAGTTGATGAACAGCCAAAACGAACAACACAAACCAATATATCTGGCTACCAATAAAGCTCTGTACTATCAGAACATAAAAGATTGACAACCTCATCAACTGATGTCCCATATTTCTCCAGTGTCCTACTTCTAACCTTGCTAACAAGCACCAATATAGAAATAATAATTTTTAGATTGACCAGTATAAAAGGAGCAAAGAACTTTAGTGTTTAAAAAATATTTAGTATTATCTCTTTGTGGCTAAACCATCTTTGAACTCCAGTTTATCAGGAGATCCCTGAATAAAAGATCAAATAAATGTTTTACTGCCATAAGATCATGTGGTCAAGAGGTGTAGGGTCCAACCCTGGTAAGCGTTTCTAGGCCTAAATTATAACAAAAAGTTTAATCAATACACCCTTAACCAATTATATTACTGCTTTTTAGGTTTTGGGGCAGGATCATCCGGATGTTGCTAAACAGTTAAATAATTTGGCTTTATTGTGTCAAAACCAAGGGAAGTATGAAGAGGTGAGCTTGATTTAAATTTTCTCGCTATCTCTGCTCACGTTTAAAAACTAGACTATTTCATTATTTTGTTTTCGTTGAATAAATGCATTTCGTCTCCCGTTTGTATAAATTTTGGATAGAGAGTGCTGTTTACTTCACGCCTACATTCATTTATGTTTCAAGTTTCCAATAAATTTTATAACACGAAAAATGTGAAAGGAATGAGCATTAGTTTTTTGTAAGATCAGGAAACCAATATATCTTTATTATTATGCGGACTCGGATGGTGTGGCAAGGGAGAAAAATATACACCAGTACATGTAAGTGTACGACGTCTAAAACACTATCTTCACGGTGTTACAGCCTCTTTGCGTGTTGTGTCTTTCAAGTGTAACTTGAAGTTATTGAACACGAAGGACGGTTTTTATCCGAATAAAATTCTTAGCTACTCCCCATTGTTAGGCATAATTGCTAGCATGAGGATGAAGATCAAAGTTGAGCGGAATGATGTTCTTGTTATGGAAATTTTCTCAATAAAAGTAATTAACTCTTTAACAAAGTTAATAAATTGATGTAAGTATCTTCGACACCGACTTGAATGTTTTGTACTCAAATTATGTATTTCATTTCATCGATATTCATGTCGACGCATCGTTGTTGGTGCAATATCCAATTATGGTATTAATGGATCACTACGTGTTGTGTGTTATGGGTTACAGTGAAAGTCGAAATGTCATTTACTGACTAAATGTCCATATAATAGAATAAGGCACATTTTTCGCGATGGTTAGTAACAGCACCCCACTTCCCAAACCGAAGGAGGCGGAGGGGGTTCGAATTCGCGATCAGTGTTTATAGCAGAAAATATCACAATAAACTATGTCTAACCTAGTTTTCATTGTATATTACTCATTCTGTTTTAAGGGCCGTGATCGAATCTTTTCATAATGGACATTGAAATTGGCAACTATTGATAATGCACTTAGAAGTAGAAAAACTCGATTTTTAAAGCTTGTAATCTTCAATAAAGGGTCTTGTTATCAAGTTACAGAAGGCTTCATACAATAGAAGTTACAACCATTTAGTCAGTCAGTCAGTAACAACGTAGAACTTTGTTCGTACGTACATCAGTTCGAGTTGCCACACCACATTAGCATAGAGATGCAGTGGTCGATTCAAATCCCGTAGTAGTAGAGGTAATAAGAGTATAAGCAGTAATCGGGAAGATTAGTGTTTGGAGATGTTACTTAAAGAGTATAATACAGTGAAATAAATTTGAGAGGAGAAAAATAAGAGACAAGGAGGAATAAGGAGATCAAAATTTGGGAGAACACAAAGAGTGTATGCACCTGCGCCATTGCAAACGATTTTGAGCCATGTCATTCAGGGTCTCTAACCATCGGTTGCTATCATCTCGCGGTCCCCAACCAGGTAGTCTACACCTACCAACATGACTCAGTCCACTTGTCAGTGACTTCATGGACTTGTGCCATGTTTTGGTCTGGCCGCCCCTAGCTTTCTTCCAACCTACTCCTATACCACTGAACATCGCACGTCGAGGCAGTCGGTCGTTGGGCATACGTAACACGTGTCCAAGCCATCTCAACTGATGAAGTTTCACTACGTCATCAATTGATTTGCCATCCTTACCTAGTACCCGTTTCCTAACAACTGCGTTACTTACTCGATGGTCCCACGATATACGAGCAATATTTCGAAGACACCTATGATCAAATACTAGTAACCTACGAATATCCTCTACTCTTACCGGCCATGTTTCACTGCCATAAAGTAGGACGGAACGAACTGCTGCGCAGTAAACCCGTCCTTTGGTTGATAGACGGATATCTCGCCTACGCCATAAATGACGCAAGTTGGTAAAAGCTAGTCGAGCCTTCTGTATCCGTGCTGAGATTTCGTCACACACCAGACCACAAGGGCTGATGAGACTTCCAAGATAAGTGAAGCGATCGACACGCTCAACTACTTCACTCCCTATTATTAGTTCGGGTGTCAATGCAACCCAATCCTGAAGCAACATTTTGCATTTCGAGGGGAGAATCGCATCCCGAACATGCCTGCATTGTTGCTTAGAGTGGTCAGAAGACTCTGCATTTTGTCAGCGTCTTCACCAAATAAAACTATGTCATCAGCATATTCTAAGTCAACAAGTGAACCTCCTGGTAGAAGTTCAACCCCTGGAAATTTAGATGAGGAGAGTGTTATCTCTAAAAGTACGTCAATGACAAAGTTGAACAAGAATGGGGAGAGTGGACAGCCCTGACGAACACCACTTGAGGTAATCAATTCTGATGACAGTTCGCCATAAGCTCTCGCTCTACCAGTTGTGTTCGAGTAGAGAGCCTTTATAAGGTTAATGTACTTCTTTGGTACTCCTTTCAGTGACAAACACTGCCATAGAACCTTACGATCGACATAGTCGAATGCCGCCTTAAGGTCGAGAAATACTACGATTGTGGGGCGTCTGAATGTGTGTCTGTGTTCTAGAACCTGACGTAGTGTGAATATATGATCTATACGCGCTCGTACTAGAGCATGATCTGAATCTAAGCATGTGCTCCAGAATGAGTGACAGTCTTCTATCGAGCCCCTCCATCGGTGGCTGATAGCGATGTGATTTATTTTGGTCCAACGTTGGGACGAATTAGGGGGTCTCCATGTTAAAAGTTGTTTTTCCTTATGCCTAAAGTTGGTATTTGCAAGAAAGAGGCGGTTATCTGAGCATAGCTGCAACAGACGGTCGCCATTATCTGTTCTTTGAGCCAGGATGCTATAAGATCCACCCAGATGTCTTTCCCTATCGCTTAGTTTACCTACTTGAGCATTAAAGTGACCGGCCATTATTACTACATCCGAACGCCTAGCTTCAAGGAGGAGGTCTGAGAGCTCTCTGTAAAACTCATCTTTTACATCATCTGCGCTGCAGTCAGTGGGAGAATAGGCAAAGACGACGAAGAGGCAACGACAAGTGTCCCTATCTTTTCGGATCCTTACTGTTCCGTTCAGTCGGACAGCGCACAAACGACTGTCTACTGCGATCCACTCTAAAAGAACTAGTTCTGCCCTAGGACTCAATGCTTCCAGATACACGAACAGTGAATCGAGTTGGTTCTATATTTTGACATGGTGAGGTCAAATGAATGACGCTACTCGGACCCTGTATGCGCGTTTCGGAGACACAGCACACATCGATGGCGCGAGATTTTAAGGTCCTAACTAAGGAAGCCTGTTGTCCTATTTGGCACAGTGTTCGGACGTTATAAGCTCCTAGATGTAGTTTGGAACGTGGTTTCAGGAGACCAGGAATAACGTTCCGCGTACTCGAATCGTTCGCACTAGCGGTGCAAAGTGATAAAGGGACGTGAGAAGGGTTAGTCATGGAGATAAGAGAGGTATTAGGAGGTGTAGGAAGGATTTGAATGTGACCAACTTGTTCTCGTATGCTGTTACGGGTATGAGGGCTGATATCACTTCCCGGCTGCCCACACCGTGGAAGGGTTCTTCTGGAGGTACCTGAAAAGGAAATTGGATTGGTGTTGGTCTTAACGACCTGGAAGCGTGACCGCAGTGCCCAAGGGACAACTGCTTGAGGCTGGTCGCGCACGGCCTTTTCGTGGAAGGTTTTTAACGTGTTAGCTCCGTTCTTCAAAGGGCCTTACCGCCGGAGACGGAAATCCGTGAGGTAAGGTGAGGTGTGACAATTTTAGGGTTGACCTTTTCTAACCCCACCCCTCCTTGTGGGAAGGCAGCATCGCTGTCATGCTGGTTGTCCGAGGGAAACACCTTACTGCTGTCACACCCCTCTACAGTCAGCAGTACGACTTCGCCCTCAGACCTCGAGTTGCTGCTTTTAGTCTTACCGTTCTCCAATCGACCTGCCTGGCATGGTAGAACCTACAGGAACATATGTTCCAGCCAATATAGCTCGGTTGGGTCATCACGATAGGCAAGCCCGACCACCGCGTCAAGGTAGCAGCTTCGGTCGGGTCCATTAAAGACAGTGAAATCAGTCATGATGAATATCACTTTAGATTTGATATAGATATATTATTGTATTTTACTTCGAAAACATCTGATATTTGTAGGTATGTTAATACTGAAGGAATTTCTTCGGTTACCACAACTCATTTCATTCCTTAAATAGAAGTCGCGGGTTAATAACCAACATTTGATTCGGCTTATCAACATTAGTTTTTCTGGTCCCCTAGATTCCGGACATGTTACTCTATTTTGAGAATATTTAGAACTTTGATGTGAATAACGTATCTCTTCAGATATTTACTGTAAATGAGTAGATACAAATTCGCTGTAGTGATATATATTCTGTTATAAATAGTAGACTTACTTAATTCATCATCACTGACAAATTCCGTCTTTCGAAGTTTGTCTTCTAGTCAAACGATGTTAAGTAGTTCCCCATGTTCAACTGTTCTTGAATTCAAAACATTGCATCCCCTTACTAGTTCCTTCATTTTTTTTCTGAGTATAAGGTTTTGAATAGTATTAACCAGTTGTTACACGAAGTTTTCACATAAAATTTCACTGAATTGGTCTAACTTATCCTACTTTACCTAAGATATTTAAGCGTAATCCAGTTTGAAAAAATTTCAAGAAATGCCTGGTTGAAAGTGTGTATAAGTGGCCAAGTGAATATGAGACTTGTCGTTGCGAAAATCTGAACATTTTTGTGTATTCCCTGCACATACTTTTAGTTTGGTAAAGTGAATATCGTATGCAACTCATTGTGTATACTTAGTAGGTAAATATTACTATTCACTTCGGAATTTTTAACTTGTGTTGGCGATATTATAAAAAAGATTTGAATTGTCTCGTTGTTGATAATCTTAATTGAATTATGATCTGTCTTCGTTGATATGTGTGCATCCTATGCATATATCCTCAATATAGTAACTTTTCATCCATCAGTCTAATAACAATTGTTTACCTCTTCTTTTTCTGATTGACTAGCTGTTTTATATTGTCCCCACTCTATATTTTCGTATTTAATATTACTAGGTGGAGTTGTACTATCAACGAGCTTTGGAAATTTATATACACGATCTCGGACCAGACGATCCAAATGTAGCTAAAACTAAAAATAATTTAGTAGGTTTTCTTTTTTCCTGTAATATTTCAAATGCTTTAAATCGGTTAAAATGTTTAGTCTTATGTGTGTCAGTTTATTGTTGTTTCACCCTTATCTAGTAATAACAATGCAAGGTGTGGCTGTTTGTGCATTCTTTTTATCTCTCTCTCTTATGTATTTTTATTGTTCACTTGAGAACTGTATGCCTTTTAGAAATTGAAAAAGTATATGTATATATGCATATATATCCATATATGTGCATATATACGCCAAACTGTAACCATGTAGTCTTGAAATGAACAAAGTAAAAATTGATTTTCAGCATTATGACAATGTCTCGCCTATCGATTGCCTCGATTACTGTTATTAAATTCTTAATTATAGAGAGTTATATAATTTAAGCGGGCTCATTCAATAAATAATACTCTTTCATATTTATTGTACTTTTTCATTCACGAAATTATATGAAAATATTTGAAGGTATGATTGAAAACAGAACTATAACTACAAACGGTATTTGTTTACATAGTACATTTCTTCTGAGTATCGATTACTTTTTGTATGGTAGTTGAGTAAATGATGTTTAGTCTCTACATGAACTGTCAAACAAAACACATGACATCGAAAATTTGCAGTACCTGAGGCAAACTGTTTATAGCACTTTACATACATGCCTAACCGCCACGTCAGAGATAACATGGATAAGAGTAGAACGGGTAGGCGTCGTAGTTATCAGATAAAGACATCGAGCCATTTAAGCAAGTCTGACAGTTGATTTGAGTATGCTTTGTTATGACTTTCAACCGGTTAAATATCACGCAATTTATTCACCAATCAGAACACGACTTATACAATCTTAACAATGTAAAAAACCAATAACATTTTGACCGTTATGAACAGCCTAGCGTCCTTATTGGTCCTTGTTCCTGCCTAGCCCTGCCTGTTGAGACAAGAACGCTTATAACAGCTTCCATTATACGAACCATTCATTTCAGACATTCTTTGTTTATATACAAGCAAACCAGACCACATCATATCTTAAATTAAAAAATAACAATTGTATAAGATCAAGACAAAAAGTGGCTGTGGTTGTGAGAGACTGGAACTAATAATTTGGGAATAACTTAAGAATAGTAAATCGCATAATAATAGTCTATGGATCAGAATAAAGCTTATAATCAGGAATATAAATACACATGATCTAGCTACTCGATATTTATATGATAAGAATATATGTATAATATTAGTCTATTAATAGCTCGCAGAAGTTACGCATAATTTAATCTTCTCTAGGTTATAACAGTTTTGTCATCAAGGTCTGTAGGACAACCGAACTCGGTAACTGGAGATTTTGGTTGATATAACTCAAAATCATTTCTGTAGTTAAAAAGTATTCTGTAGTGTTGCGTTACTTTAGTATCTTCTACCCTAGAGTGTTTGTTGCTGCGTAGTTCGTTGCACATATCAAATGAGATTTGTGTGGTGCATATGTATTTGGTGCCTCCTTGTACCAATGTGTGTTAAAATAAATAAAAATAAAAAAATTACTACTGCATTTTCATGGTGTTGATTCTCGAATCATTGTTGTTGATGTACAGTGAATAAACTTTTGCCATATTATCCTGTGTCAGCTTTTATATATGCCTGTTTGTTAGTGGATGACTCGTTGCTTTCTTTTCCATGATGCAGTAAATTTTATTACTTTTGTCTAGTTTTATGTATTTGTCTATTTTTGGACCGGGAAAAGTAAATATGATTAGAAATAATTGTTCTTAGTTTGATTATGTTGGGATATTCAGGAAAATATCCCCAAAAAAATTATCCTGTTAAGGCTAATGCTATCCTTGGACATGAAATGGTATCATCTTATTGGTCAATGTTTATTTAACGTGTCATTTTCCTACTGGCCATTATTGTACAATGTTATTTCCTATTTTATCGTACGATGTGGTCTGCTTGACTGGTATATAAACAAAGTATGTTTGAAATACAATGATTCATAACCCAGAGGCTGTGACTTGTGTTCTGGACTCAACTGGCTGGGTTAGATAGGGAAGCGAGACCAATCAGAACCCTAGGCTGTTCTACGTGTTTGTGCGTCTTTGGTCCGATCAATAATTCGCTACCCTTAATCAGCAGCATCATTTTCACGTTATAACAGATTATATCTGAACGCCTTATGTACTCAGATTCCCTGGAAGATTATAGTTAAAATTAATGTTCCATTATAATTACTTGCACGGTATTGTCGTAGGTGCTCTTGTTTTTAAATATGTTACAAACGTGCCATTCAGATTTAAGGCATATATATACCACCAGAAATGCTCACATTTTCACCATACTACTTGTTTTTTTTCCTCCAGAGGTTTCGTTATATATGTGTATACATTGACTTTATACTTACAAAAAGCAATAGCTTATTTTCAGCAGATTTTTGTAGAAGACATTAATATTTCTGTTCGATTTATGGTTTAGAAATTATCCGTATAAAATTGGTATTTATGTCAAACGCCTTGGTATTGATATTAGCCGTATAGATGGTGTATGTTACGACGACCCTTTTTAGCTATGATTGTCAGTAGCATCCAAGACATGTATTTCTGTTTGTCTGGGACTGACCAGTTAAGTGATATCCAAATTGTTGTGAACATTGATGCTCTTGCTGAAATTTTTTCCAGAATGTATTTATTGATATATTAAAGCGTACAGTAAAAGAGGTCAGTTAATTCTGTTCAGTAAATCGTTAATGGGAATAGTAATCCATTAAAAATGTTACAAATAATTTTCGTGTATCTGGGTAGCTGCGTAAGGGCTGTTGGTGACGTGAGAGATCAGATTAATTCACGTATAGTGAAATTCAGAGCGGCTTATGCTAATCTGTGTCATCTTTGGCGCTCTCGTGTTAGTCTGCCTGTAAAAGGTCGGATGTGCAGCAGCTTTGCTCTATGTTTGTAAAACCTAGCCTCCGAGTTGAGGAGGTTAGACGAATCTGCGTTTGCTCATCTTTGCCTCCGAAGGATTTCTGGCATCCAGTGAAAACGTCATTTTAGTGATGCGGATGTTCAGCAACGTATGTTCGGGCACACTGACGATTAATCAATTGTTGTTACCATTCTAGCACACCGACTTTGGTGGCTTAGACATGTCTTATGAATATCATCCCAGCGAATTCTACGTCGTGCATTGCTTGGCGGCGCTGGGACCGGTTTCAAATGCGGAGAGATGTTCAGTGCACGACATGGTGTCGTAGTATGAGAGAAATCTGTGAAGGATTGGTTTTTGTAGGTCCTTCAAGACTCCCTGGTTGTGGTCCTAGAGATGCTGCAACACAGTAGTTTGAGACGTTTTTCAGACATGGCTCAGAATAGAAGGCTATGACAATTTTGCTGTAACTTCCTTTTACTTGCTTCATAAAAATGAAAGTGACTTCCTGAACAGAAAGAATCCTTTCTGGTTTTATTTTTCACAAGTGAATTGTATCTATTATTTTTATTATTTGATTCTCATACGCTAATCGCTGTCCACTATTGCTCTGTTTTATTATACTGATTTTTTGTTGTCTATCTCTTTACAACCTCATTTTCAGTGGGTGGCGCATATACATTTGGTGCCCCTTTGTACGAATGTTTATATGTTTAAATAAACAAATAAATAATCCTTCCGCTAAGTAACTGAGTAATCACTTCTTCGGTAGTCAAATAACATTAACTGATTGTTTTGAGTTTTGATCGGAGTAGAAATACTCTGGCAGGCAAGTATATTAAATAAATGGATAGAAAATAAGAATCAACGTATTATCCTGAGTTCGACCACATAATATGCACTTGATAAACCTAATATCAAGGACTCTAGTAAAAGGAGTTCATTTATCAAAAGAATTTTATTAATTGAGTTAGTAATAAACGTAACAATGTACAATAATTTTAATCTTCACGTAATAATAGTATGCATCTACTCTTAAATATCATTGGGTGAATAATTCATGTGAAACATTATTATGATTCTACGGAAACTGAAACGTTCAATGTATGATATTTTATTGATCGGTAGTTTATTAATTATATAATTCACGTCTCTTCGATTGCTGATAGAATGACAGAGAAAAAAGACCAAACATCATATTTTTTAACTCATAATTTTCCTTATTACTGCTTTTAGAAACAGTAAAGTGAATATGATTAGAAGCCATTTTTAACTAAAAAAATGATTTTGAGTTATATCAACCAAAATCTCCAGTTACCGAGTTCGGTTGTCCTACAGACCTTGATGACAAAACTGTTATAACCTAGAGAAGATTAAATTATGCGTAACTTCTGCGAGCTATTAATAGACTAATATTATACATATATTCTTATCATATAAATATCGAGTAGCTAGATCATGTGTATTTATATTCCTGATTATAAGCTTTATTCTGATCCATAGACTATTATTATGCGATTTACTATTCTTAAGTTATTCCCAAATTATTAGTTCCAGTCTCTCACAACCACAGCCACTTTTTGTCTTGATCTTATACAATTGTTATTTTTTAATTTAAGATATGATGTGGTCTGGTTTGCTTGTATATAAACAAAGAATGTCTGAAATGAATGGTTCGTATAATGGAAGCTGTTATAAGCGTTCTTGTCTCAACAGGCAGGGCTAGGCAGGAACAAGGACCAATAAGGACGCTAGGCTGTTCATAACGGTCAAAATGTTATTGGTTTTTTACATTGTTAAGATTGTATAAGTCGTGTTCTGATTGGCGAATAAATTGCGTGATATTTAATCGGTCGAAAGTCACAACAGTAAAGAATAGAAAATATTTTGTCTAGAATTTATAATATTGACATTTGTAACTTACATCACTTACTTATTTACTTACTTCTGTTACTCCTCGTGAAGTAGCATAGGCCGCTCACCAGCATTCGCCACCCAACCTTGTTCTGGGCAGTCCTTTCCAGCTCCTTCCATTTGTTATTCATCTTTTTCATATCTGCTTCCATTTCCCCATGTAATGTGTTCTTTGGCCTTCCTCTTTTCCGCTCCGCTTCAGGATTCCAAGTTAGGACTTGCTTCGTGATTCAGTTTGATGATTTGCGTAATGTATGTCGTCCTATCCATTTGCATCGTCTTTCCCTAATTTCCTCTTCAGCTGGAATGTGGTTTGTTCTCTCCCAGAGAAGGCTGTTGCTGATGGTATCCGACCAATGGATGTTGAGTATCTTGCGTAGATAACTATTTATAAATAATTGTACCTTTTTGATGGTGGTTGTAGTAGTTCTCCAAGTTTCAGTTCTGTACAATAGAACTGACTGTGTTGACGTTGGTATTGAAGATCGTGACTTCGATATTGGTTGGAAGTTGTTTTGAGTTGCATATGTTCTTCAATTGTAGGAATGCGGCCCTTTGCAAATGTTTCCCCATTTTCGTTTCTCTCTTTCAGTCCATGTCGTCCCATGATATCTTCATATCTGGTGTTGTCTATTCCGAATTTGGCGTTTAGATTTCCCATCAGAATGGTGAGGTCGTTTCTTGGGCACTTCTCTATGATTGATCGCAGCCTCTCATAGAATTGATCTTTAATGTCGTCGTTGCTATTATTGGTGGGTGCATAACATTGGATAATATTCATTGTGATCCCCTCCTTCTTTGTTTTGAATGATGCTTTGATGATTGTGGATCCGTGAGATTTCCATCCTACAAGTGCACTTCGTGCTACTTTGGACAGCATTAGAGTAAGTCCCTGAGTGTGTGGATCATTTTCCTGTTCGTGACCGGAGTACAGCAGCATCTCTCCGGTATTTAGGCTTTGTTGTTCAGCTTGAGTCCAATGGGTTTCGCTGATTGCCAGTACTGCCAAGTTGTATCTCCTCAATTCCGTTGCTATTAGACTGGTCTCCGACATTGTCGGGACGTTCCATGTAGCTATAAAAATTGTTGGTCTGGTTGTTAGAATGGGCATTGGTCTCGTGGCTTCTGAAGGAACTCGGCTTTCACTATGAGGCGTCATATTTGTTCTAAATGAAGACGTTCTAACTCCCAGATCAGAGTTAAAATGGTTTGAATTATTTTTTCTGTTTAGCGTTTTTTAGTGTGTTAGTTTTTACGGGATGGGATCGCTAAGCACATGCCAAACCCTCCTCCTTTACCCGGGCTTGTGACCGGTAGTAACTCTAGAAGAGCTACAGGCGGAGTTTGTAACCTATATTTATATATATATCAATGAAATCATGGTAATCGGTCACGAGATAGTAAATCCCGATATTAGCTTTCTTACCACACCCCGTTTAAACTAACATATTTCATTTCAGTTCATTTTGTATATATGCAGTCTATTGTTTAAATGGTTTAAATTTCTTTTTCGGCAAGACTATAATTTATGGACGGAGCAAGAAGATTTATGAAAACAGGTTTTTTCATTTTGGCGCCAGACTCATTCACTTATTTGTTTAAATGGCGTTTTGGCATTTTTGCTGATGTCAGTTCGTGATGAAAAACCATAAATCTAAATCCTAACCCTTACTATCAACTGTAAATCATAATCCTTAGCATCGCTGAAAGGTCGTCCATAAAATTTAGTTTCACCGTTTTTTCTAGTTAGCGTTTATTAACAAGGTTGTTTTCTATGGGGTGGGGTTGGTGACGTCATGCACAACCCTCCTTTTCCTGGGCTTAGGATCATCAGTAACCCTAGAAGAGTTACAGGTGTTGATTTGCAAATTGCTACAAATTATTTTATCTCTTACTATCATATTTTTCACAGGCTTCAGCCTATCTTAAACAAGGTAAATATGCTGAAGCTGAAAAATTATATAAAGAGGTACTTACACGAGCTCATGAAAAAGAATTCGGAAAAATTTCTGATACAAACAAACCTATTTGGATGCTTGCAGAAGAACGTCAGTCCGGTCAGTTAACCAATGCAAATAAAGATATTAGTGAAACTGTTCAATCAATGTGGTCACGTATTTCTCGTTCAGAAAAGTAAGTAGGAAATTTTGATTGGTCTCCATTCTTGCTTACCTACTGCCTGTTATTTTTATTTCTGTCTAACTGTTCAATATCGGTTCAATTATAATCGATTATATAGTCGGATTAATTTGAACATGTTTCCCATATAACCATAGTGTAATACGGAAACACTGATGTTTTGTAAGATGACTATAATAATATGAATTGATCACTTTACTGTAATTGGAGTTCAAAATTCAGTACATATATATGTATATGAAGACAATAATTACTTGCTGATTCGCCTTATTATTAAGCTAGATTTATGATTCTTAGTTCGACACGTAACTAGTTTTCATCACGAACGGATATAGATCGTAGAATTCTCAGGTGATTCGTATGGTTGTTTGAAAAATCGCTCAGAAACCAAAATTACTCTTATCCAGTCAAAATCCTTTGATGTCGACTGATTATACCCTAACCCGATTGTTCGATTGTCATATTTATTGCTTATGTTAGTATTTTCCCAGAAACCTCAGGCCACCGGCAATAATCTTATACATCTTTTTCGCGGTAATAAAACCAACCTCAGAAGTAAAGGTTTTTCATATTTCCTGCCTTTTGGTTTTGGTTCATGCTTCAAGTAAAGATTGTTATTTAAAAATCTCATAAGAACCCAGTGTTTCAGGCGTCCAGAATACCAGACATGTTAATCACCATTTAGAAACAATGAACAACTGAATATAAGATTTATGTTTTAATGTTATTTAATGTATTCTCGTTTTACCGTATATTCCCTTTCTATGCTGTCCCACTCCTAACGAATCCCATTCACAGGTGAATAACAAATTTTCTCTCTTAACGCCTAGTAATAATACTTATAGAGAATCTAAGTTTGTTTTTCGGTACTGAAAATGTTTTGTTTGTTTGGCGTTTACTCATTGAGTTTTTTCTGCAAGAATGGAAAATAAACTGCTTTTTTATATATTATTTCAGAAATGATTTCTATCATAGTTTGATTTCATATTATTGCTTATTTAATGAGTACGTACAAGAATTTAATTTTAAGTAAAGGAGACGAAAGTAGGCTTAGACACCATAGTTGCATGCGATGATTAGAAATTGTCACATCTAAATGTGTTGATCCGAATTTTATTATGATAAACTTAAAATCTTCACTTCAGTGTCATTCTATGCTTTTTTCAGGATATCTTATTGATTTCTGTGAAATACTATCTTTACTTGTATTCCTATCGTAATATCAATATTATTATTTTCACTTGTTCTTTTTTCAAACTACTGATTTCCACTACATACTTTACTGATGCAATATTTAACGATTGTAATCGATCTACATTTGCATCACGCATTATATTGTCCATGACCAAGTTAATAGAGAGGATATATGGGGGAGAAAATTACGCCTCACCTAGCTGTTCTTCTGGTTGGTATATAATAAAACTCAATCTCTTGTGAAAATGATTGTTTTTTCTAATTAATCATAAGGTACTTATCACTTTGATTGCCTTAAGCGAACAATTAGATAAAGGTCTGGTAGTGTTATACACAGGGAAATCAACAATTACACATGAATCAATATCTTTATTATGCCCTATGATGTCGTTCAGCATCATGTTCTATATTTCAGTATTCTATGTTCTTTTTTTCTAAAGAAGCCTTCTTAGTGTTTTTTTCTCTTATTGCAGTATTTGCTTCTTTGTGTCGGTTTTATTTCGTAATGATGGGGAAAAGTTTGACAATAGAGCTCTTAAACACAACTACCTATAAAGCTAGTTCTAAGCAAAAAATACAAATTATTCTTTAATAATTGCAAACTATGTGTTTTAATGCCTACTATTTCTGTTCTAACCACACGTTGTTTTATAATTTGATCTATTTAAAGATATTAGGAAGTTTTTTTCTAATGTTTACTTTTTTGATTCTTACTTTTAGCCAAACTGAGTGTTTTTCTCTGTTTTTCACTAGAAAACATCTCATTCTTAAAAAATCTATATTATACAATCTCAAGGAATTAATAAACGTGAACTTTCTTTCTTATATTTATTAAAATTATTAGATTAAAACGTAATACAATTTTAGCTTATATTCCTTTTTTGTGCTTAATTCAATTCATTTATTTATTGGTGTTTACACGTACTCACATTGATAAACTGTAATAGCATCCACGTCATTTATCTTGGTAGGTTAATATTTATTTATTGACAGTTAGCTTTTGAGGTACACGTAGTCATTCACTGACTAATGTGGTAAATTATTATTAAAATAATTGAATTAATTCTTCACTTTGATTTTTTTCTTCATTTCTACTATTGAATTTTGGTTACTTAAAGTACAATTCACAGTATTCAACATATATGTAATAATGTTATAATTTCCATTTCATATTTTTAGTTTTATCATCTAAACATTCCAGTTACTATACTTACTCCAGCTAATTGATTTTTATTCACCTTATAGGCATACAGACATAGTTTTATATTTATTTTTTATATGTTTAGTAATAGATGGTCAGAAACATTTGGTTAACCGTCATTATTTATCTAGCAATATTTTTATGACTCAACCACTTTACTTTCTACTATTGTGTTTCAGGTTTGAATCCCTCAGCTTAAGGGGCTAAATAATATCAACAACTTCCAAATAAAAAGAAATATGGATACTTAATTTTTGAATTTTGTCCAATTTAATATTGAATCAGTTCATTGATATAATCGCTCAACAGTTCAAATTGTTATACATTTAAAATCTGTTGCTTATTTTAACAGGCAAGATAAAGTATCGAAATTAATCAAAAGAAATGCGTCATAAAGCGTGAAGGAATATCTTAGCAGTCTAAAAGACTGAAGAAAATGAATTCCCTTAATGACAAACAATTTTGAACCATCTTACTCCATATTTCCAATCATTAGTGTATAAAAAATCAAGGTTTTCGAATAATTACGTCGATCATTATATATATATATATATATATATATATATATATATATATATATATATATATATATATATATATATTGGTGTAGAGCCATGATGAAAAACTAATTGAAAAGAAATTTCTTCGCCCGGTTCGTTCCTTCTTTATTTACCTAATGTCAAAATGGAAAAAATCATATGGCCAGCCGGTAAAGTTATATCTTCATTCATAACTCAGATATTCAGTTAACTATGAAGTAATATCTAGTCCGAATCTGTTCATCGAAAATTAAGTGTCTTAGACAGTCTTTTTGAATCAGATAGATAGTGTATAGGAAACCACAATAAATTTCGTTCATTTCTGTTGATATTCACTTCCTAGTTTACCTTCTTTGTCTTAAATCCCACTGTTTAATGTCAGCCACGCTAATTTGATATCACCGCCATATATTTCAAGTTGTAACTTCTATATCATAGTTTCCGTTTGCAGGGAAAATTTTAAATTTAATAAGTACAAATTCCTAGTTTTTTTTTACTGAAAAACTTTTATTTTTTCATTATACAGTCCAACTGTCGGTACAACTCTTCGAAATTTGGTTGCCCTTTATCGTAGACAAGGTAAATTCGATGCGGCTGATATAATTGATGAGTGTGCTTCATACTCTAAGACGTCATCATCTGTTTCTGAACCTGTAAGTCCTACATATTTCACCGTTATCAATTGTTATTAAATTTGCATTGGCTTTATATTATTTTATCGTGTGGGTAAAGTTTTTGACATTGGTTTACTTCAGAAACTTTTTCCCTATTTTGGAAGGTTTATAAAGCATCAAGGTTTGGCTTGATAATTTCAAATAAACTAGGTATTGAATAAATTGTGTATGGTGATAAGATTGTAATATACATTTGGAAAATCCTAATAAGCAGAAAATTGAGTTTTCGACATTTTACAACATAAATAAAGTTGGTTTGTCAGAAAGTAAGTAGACGTTTTCGAATTGACACATTTAAGTCGCGATTGTATTATTTTAGTCATCATGTTTTACACTTGGAAACAAAAAGTTCTATGTTTTACTTCCTAATTTTAACAAATTTTAGTATAATTTGATTTTAATGGCAAAAAAATATGCTAATATCTTTCCCTTTTAATCGCCTGTCAGTATTTATTTCCGCATTCAAAAATTAGACATAAACATATAACTAGTTGTTCCCATACACTTAGTTCTTTATAGCTTATATAACATCCATAAGGCTTCACACTTGGCGTTTGTTACCTTATTCCATTTTCATTCTCTGTACTCGTTCAGACATTTTATTTCAACTCTGTTCTTGTACATTATTTCGTGGCTATGTTTTCCAAATCTTGAATTCCTGTGATACTTGCTTGAATTTGTAACTGATTTGATGATTAAAGTACTCCACTGCTAAGTTACTGGCTTCATCTTCAGCTGTCGGATGGTTTCATCAACTTTTGCACTCGAAGAGTACATAAACTTGTGTTTAGCTATTAATTCGATTTTCGTTGTCTGAACATAGATCACGTAGTTCATAGGTATTTGTTTCGAGTTGGATAGATCATTTTACTTTCATATCTATGCATTTACGATTTCTCATTTTTAAATTAGGACTATGAACAGTTGGAACATAAGCCACGATTTCCAATCAATGATCAATATCCTAGGCGAGGTTATCCACGCCATCCATATCAGCGTGTTGAAGATAGATCTATGATCACTTCTTCACGTAGTCTACTTGGCCCTCCGAATGGTCACCCTATCAATAGACGATCATTTCCTCCTAGTCGTGGGTTTTTCAGGTAGCTTAGCTTTCTCTAGCGCCCCGGTCTATTCTCTAATTCATTTGCACTTAAACGTTGGCCTTTAGTAGAGCTTCTGTTTGCTGCACTGCATGATTATATGATCCATCACAATTTTAGTCTATTGATTTAGCAGTTTAACCCGAATTTGCTTCCTTAGTAATTATGATTCAACCTTTGGTGACGTAATTTAAATGAAGGTATTTATTATTCAAGCTTTTCGTTTCATATATACGTAAATTTTGTGTCAAGATGTTCTTTTTAAGAACATTGTTGGGATTTTTCCTTCTGTCTTTCTTCCTTGCTGTTCCTTTTTTATTTTTCTAAATATATTACTTAGACACTGATTTGTTTGCCCATCCTTACTCTGTATTTGGTTTATTAAAAAAGATAAAATATGTGATCCTATTTAATGAATATAACCAATTAGTCAATGACCGGTTTTATGAATTAAATATAGACCACTTAACCAATATTTTATGATTGGCCAATGTAGATCAAACTCATTTTTTCTCTAAATAGCATTTAGGATTTGAAGGAATGTGAAGTGTTGGATACATTAATAAAATAATATCTTTATTTTGAATCATTTGAACCTTTCTTACAATACTCTTCTGATCCAGATGACACCATACATCAATATAAATAATGCTTAGGTATACGTAAGGTATTTTTCAATCTTTTCAGTTGCTTTAAATATATCACTATATGTATTTTCTACTTGGAATTTTACTCGTACCTTTAGTTATTTATTTTCCAGTCCCATTGTACAAATGATGGTTTTATGATACAAATATCCAAATTCATGCATCGTTTTTACTTCAGTATTCAGAGTTCATGCTGTTGGGTATTTCCCAGAATGATATTACTGCAATCTTGAAAGGACTGACGCTAGACGACGTGACATCACAGTATCACAGTTAAAGATGCTGTAAATCCTCCATTCAACTTGAGACCGACCTATCTTAAAACTGAGATACACTAATTAATTGCTTCGTCTACCTTAATCATCATCACCGAGTCGTATAGTGAAATATTGGTTATTTATTACCTACTAAACTGTCGCTGTTAGAGCACCCCCAGGGGATGCAATGAAGCTAATTAGGCAGATCCCTTTACATCCACTACTTTATTCTTGAAATTCACATATGTAAGAAAATACTGATTAATTGTGTTTTATTACAATCATAAGTTGTTCTTAACGCGTCTTTATAATTATTTTCGGTACTTAATAAGTGTGGTTCTGTACTATTAATATTATTTTTTTCTTCGAAATGTTCTATTTAGTTATCATTATGCAACAAACAGTTGATAAAACAATACTGACTTGTAAACTTTAGAATTTCATCTATTTTTAAATATTAATTCTACAGATGAAGAAATATTGCTTATATTTAATTCATCGCCTAATATATCGACGTAATCCTATTGTAATTTCTCGTTCTACATGAATGTAACTAGAATGTTTCACTTTTTAATTATCGAATCCCTAGATGTTAGTCACTGTTACACTACTACTCCCTGTGTTACTGCTATTGCTACCATAAGTGGTTTTTGTTATATAAAGTTTACGGATGGAAGTTTTTGTATATTATGCATCTATTAACATTTAAAATGATCCATAGCAATTATGATTAGCAATAATACTGCTTTTATGTATTTTTACCACTGTTAATTAGTAGTTTATATATATATATATGCTTGTTTTATTAACCTCTTCCTCTTTTAACTCCACAAATCTCTATATCACAATGTTCTGATTATACACTCATATTTACAGCATCAAAAAGGCCCAATCAATGTCAACCCTACCAGGAAGCTCTAATAATAAGATGTTTTATATGCAGGTTAGTATATTTTGAAACGGTTCATTCCATGTTTCTGTATGATTACATCGATGTTTAATTTCCTACAAGCGGATTTATTTTTCATCTAGTAAATGCACAATATAAATGTTAGGTATAGCTAGCAGAAGTTTACATCACTTACGAGCATTTTTCGAAATTATTGGTGATATATATTCAGTAGGAAGAAGCACATTGTTGATTTTTGTACTTACAAATTGCAAGTGGACCAGTAAAATATTAAATGTCTATGATGCTATCAAAGTTTGAGATGTTATAATGGGTTTTTAGAAGATACCAGTTTAACTTAGCCGTATACGAATTATGTGGTAATTCACTCATATGAAGCATGCTTAGTTACATACACTGTTGATTTATTTATAATCAGTATTGCTGAAACTGTGCTGATAATTATCTGCTTTTTCATTAACATAAATTTGATGTTACTTTGATGGACATCGATTTTAATCGCTGTCTAGTATTTTGGTCAATTTTAACAAACTTTTGAATATATAAGAACTTTCTTCTAAATTTGATCGAATAGTTTCACAGTCTTTGGGTGCCGAGTTAATGTGATACATTAAAGAGGAAGAATGTATTTGTAAAATTTCAGCGAAAAAATTTGAAGTGAATCCAACGTTTCGCTGAGATTCTACAAATACATTCTTCCTCTTTAAAACTTGGGATAGTTTTTGCGATACTAGTTAAAACCTGTTGGGGTTGTTACATTTAGCTTAGATTAGTCAATACATTTTTCAATAGTTTCTCGTCTTCACTGATCGTCAAGTCAGATATCATCATTTTTTTCCAACTTCAACGTGACGTGAAATCCCCCATATTGTCTATAAGTACCTTTACGAATATTAAATTACGATTTTACGACTTTGGTCGCCAATTACTCTCAATATGTACTATTTCAACAAACACCGGTTTTGACAGTTCCTTATTTAAATAAATAATCAGGCAATTTGAAGTTACGTACTTAATTGAACTCAGTGTGCGAGACTGCATCATTCATAAATTTATAAAACAATTTCGATATCGGTATGCCAAGTTCATTAACTGTAAACGGTAAAATACCAATAAAAATCTCAATCTGAGCATTTTGGGAAATTCTTATCACAAAAAGTGACAGTTAACATTCATTAGAACAGATTTAAAGCTTTTAGTCTAGCTAGAATAAAGAAGCTTCAGTAAAGATGGTTGTCTTCTAGATAATATTATACTTTGAAGCTGTGTGATTGCATCTATTGTTTATACCAATAGGTATGAGTTTATCATTTTAAAGAAGAACACAGCGCGATTTCATTGTTATATCTCCGTGTGCAAGATAGATTTAAACCAATAATAAACTTGACCAAGTGCTTCGCCACCGGAGCTTCAGTATATAAGGTGCTTCTCAGAGAGATTGGAGAGTGTGCCTTTCCTCTATAACTGACTTTTGTAAGGATGCAAACCTTGCACAATACCTAATATACCCTCCATTTAATTCTTTGATTAGCTTTACATCTATAGGATTTGCCATTCAAATTAATAATTTCGAGACTTTGGAATGCGAAGTTTTATAGAGAATAATCTCTACTGGTCTGTCTTGTGAGGCGTTCTGTACCCACAAAGTCACCTATTAGAAAACAATTTGTGGTTGTTATTCACTATTTACGACCATTTTTTACTGTCGTCTTTTGATCTGTTTGCATTTATAGCAGGAAAGGCTTAGACAACTGTGTAGTGGTTCAACTAATTCAAAAGAAATTTATTCCCAAGATGGTCATACTAATAACAGTAATAATTATTTTCCCCTTGATGGCTATGGTACACGATCCCAATATATGTTTGACTTCAACCCATCTTTAAACAACAGTTTGAATAATTAATTCCTTCTTCTTTTGCGTTTATGGTCTATTTAAAATTATGAAATTAGCAATTACACTTGTGTTTCAAAATATCCTCTTTCGTTATTTTTTACTTGTTTGTTTATTCTCACCTCTGATCCATAGTAAAGGTTATTACTTTCTCTCTATGTTTACCTACTTATGTGTGTAAAGTGTGACTAGGTGAGTAATTGTGTTGGTAGGATTGAAATATTATTTCTTTGTTTTTATTTATATGGAAATTTATTTGTCTTTTCCATCCTGTTGCCGTTGTTTGCTGTCATCATCAATAGGATAACCGGTCGCGATTATTATACTGTGAGCTCTAAACATTAACTTATATCATTACTTAATTTTTGGCTGTGATGAATCAATTGTGCAGATCTATATGTGAACTTTGTTCAGTTTTATTCGAAAAAACGTTGCACACATGTTATTAAAAGAAAACTGCTCATGTGTGTGTGCATTCGTGTACGTGTGTGTTACTTCACGATTTCCCTTGTTTTGTTTTATGTTGCTGAATTAAGTTCCTTTTTTAGGAGCTGTGTATCTCGAGTGTCATAATTCATTTTCAAAGAAAAAGATGTAATGAAACACTTATTCAGCTATAATTTATAAAGAACAATATTTGTGTCTTCATTCGCTATAACTGATACATCTTTGCAAAACGGTATAAATCAATGCGTTTTCTTCTCTATAGTCCCTTATATCTTGATTATTATTTTGTTTTATCATTGTTCATTTTTGTGAATGCAATAAAAACGTGCGCCTAAATTTTGTTCAGCTGTTTTCTCCATGTCAAACTGACCACATTCCTGTTTCTCCCTCTGTGTCAATCTCTATACATCTCTCAAACCGTGTCGTTGGTGCTTATCTTTGTGCACATCTCAAACGTAAGATAAGGATATATGGATATATTTTTGTTTCGTGTTCTTTCATATTAAAATACAATTATGCATTTCTTAACATATTCATCTCTTTTTCTACACAAATATGTCTTCCTTTTTAAACTACAATTAACCTGATGGGACTCTTATCCACTCCTATGTATCCTCATCGCGTATGACAAATTTCTTTCAGTGTCTAAAATTGCCTCCCTAACTAGGTTTATGCTGAAACTACTAAACACCTACGCCAAAATTAGTTGCCATAGCTTTGTTCATAAGGTGAATGTTGAGTAGGGTTTTTCGATCTACAATACATTGTTAATGAATAGATACATACCTGTTAGCGTGAAATCAGTTTATGACAGCCAAGTAGAACCACATATTCAGAATTTCCTTTATTAGTCAACTGGATGTCGATGATTCTGATATTCGCTATACTAATTTTTATAAGGTAAAATAAACTTGCCCATATTCTTTCATGTATCAGAATGAAGTTCTTTAGAGCATAAAGTCAACTGTAATTTCTTAAGCCTTGCTATATTTACAAATTAACGAGTTACCACTACCAATATAATTACTTAAAAGGTTTACTTGCTACCGATCTCAATTAGTTGGTTTTTGTGCTCAATGATCGTTCTTATGCCAACGAGACTTTTCCAATTCATTAAGGAGAAAACCGTTTCTGTACTTGAGTAACTGAAGTGTTTCATTAGCTCGTATACTTTCAGAACCTTTAAAGTTGGCTCACTTCACCACCATCCGTAAGACTTTCATCTGTTCATATCGTTAAATTGTCAAATGTTTAGTGCTACATCCAGTAATAACAACCCGAGCTTTCGAAGTCTTATCCCTAGTCTTACATCTGCTTTTCAAAACTGAAAGCTATTGATTCAGGTGTTCAAAAATTGAATCATATTTTATCAATCGGGATTCTAAAACATCCCATAGATATATATGCTATGTCTGAGATCAATATGTATACCTCGTATGTTGTTATTCATTTGACTTCACCTAACTGGTTGGGAGACCAGATCAGTTCAACCTTCAATTATCTGAAGACTCGAAAGAAATTTCCTCTAATCTCTCAGATGTTGATTAAATAGCAGGATTGATACTTCTGACCTCGGCTGTAGTAAGTCGTTGATTGGACGCAGTTCAATTAAATAGGACAGTACTTACTTACGCTTGTTACTCCTCGTGATGGAGCATAGGCCGCTCACCGGCATTCGCCACCCAATCGTGTCCTGGGCAATCCTTTCCAGTTCCTATTGATCCTTTTCATATCTGCTTCTATTTCCCCATGTAATGTGTTCTTTGGCCTTCCTCTTTTCCGCTCCGCTTCAGGATTCCAAGTTAGGACTTGCTTCGTGATTCAGTTTGATGATTTGCGTAATGTATGTCGTCCTATCCATTTGCATCGTCTTTCCCTAATTTCCTCTTCAGCTGGAATGTGGTTTGTTCTCTCCCAGAGAAGGCTGTTGCTGATGGTATCCGACCAATGGATGTTGAGTATCTTGCGTAGATAACTATTTATAAATAATTGTACCTTTTTGATGGTGGTTGTAGTAGTTCTCCAAGTTTCAGTTCTGTACAATAGAACTGACTGTGTTGACGTTGGTATTGAAGATCGTGACTTCGATATTGGTTGGAAGTTGTTTTGAGTTGCATATGTTCTTCAATTGTAGGAATGCGGCCCTTTGCAAATGTTTCCCCATTTTCGTTTCTCTCTTTCAGTCCATGTCGTCCCATGATATCTTCATATCTGGTGTTGTCTATTCCGAATTTGGCGTTTAGATTTCCCATCAGAATGGTGAGGTCGTTTCTTGGGCACTTCTCTATGATTGATCGCAGCCTCTCATAGAATTGATCTTTAATGTCGTCGTTGCTATTATTGGTGGGTGCATAACATTGGATAATATTCATTGTGATCCCCTCCTTCTTTGTTTTGAATGATGCTTTGATGATTGTGGATCCGTGAGATTTCCATCCTACAAGTGCACTTCGTGCTACTTTGGACAGCATTAGAGTAAGTCCCTGAGTGTGTGGATCATTTTCCTGTTCGTGACCGGAGTACAGCAGCATCTCTCCGGTATTTAGGCTTTGTTGTTCAGCTTGAGTCCAATGGGTTTCGCTGATTGCCAGTACTGCCAAGTTGTATCTCCTCAATTCCGTTGCTATTAGACTGGTCTCCGACATTGTCGGGACGTTCCATGTAGCTATAAAAATTGTTGGTCTGGTTGTTAGAATGGGCATTGGTCTCGTGGCTTCTGAAGGAACTCGGCTTTCACTATGAGGCGTCATATTTGTTCTAAATGAAGACGTTCTAACTCCCAGATCAGAGTTAAAATGGTTTGAATTATTTTTTCTGTTTAGCGTTTTTTTAGTGTGTTAGTTTTTACGGGATGGGGTCGCTAACAACATGCCTAACCCTATTCCTTCACCCAGGCTTGAGAACGGTAGTAGCTCCAGAAGTGCTACAGGCGGTGTTAAATAGAACAGTAACTCTATCTAAAAATGATATGTTTATATTTCTACTGACTGCAGATAAGATGAAAGAAAAGTGATCTCTGTCTTCAGTTTCCTAACCTGTCAAAAGTCTAGGCTTTCAAGGTAATTTCACTCGATGAACCTAACGATCAGTTAGGTAGTGTCAATCAAATCGAAAAATAATGTCTCTCCGTGGATGTAATGTTGAGTATCTACTGCTCAAGATTTCAGTCATTCAAGCAAGACATCAATTTTAGGCATAATGAAGATGCTGAGTTGAACATCTTAGAAGTTAACTACGTCACTGGCGAAGAAATACTTGAAATTTATTACTCTTCATTTGTCGAGTATTACTTAGGCACTGATATGAGCCAACACTGTTTTCGATAATTAACTAGTCCTATGCATCCACAAGCTTATTCGAGTTGGTAGACTATTCATGCATGGTAGGTTAGTGGGGGGGGAACTATTAAAAGGTGCTTTGCTTCCTCTAAACCCACATTTTTCCAACCTATTCAAATGATGAGCCTGCAGAATATGATCCCTTAATCTCCAAAAGTTCACTGATATCTATATTTTGTAGCTACGCAATGTAACGAAACAAACATGGACTTCCTAGTCCATCAATATTTTTTACTCTATTGAAAAATTTAAATGTATGCTTTATTTCGACCTCATTTGGCTAGTGGAGTGACACCATAGCTCACACTCCATTTATCTAGTTGCATTTCGTAAACTTGAGTTTGTTCAAATCGCAATAAATAAAAGATCAAGAATTTTATTTTCTTCCTAAGGTTGTTAAATGTTGTTTCAAAACTCAGTGAACTACTAAATGAGCTAATCGAGGGTGATCGGTAAAATGATTGATTAAGTGAACGGTCCCAGAATGTGATGGGAGAAGTGACATAATTATTGTTGGAGTTACATGGTCTTCTAGTATTACGCGACAAACGGATAACCATGGGTATAGTAAGGACTTCATTACTGGAATGGATTAAGTGGTTGAACTGATAATTTGCTGACAACTGCTTTTTAAATCCCAACTGGATTGATCTTGTATTGCATAGCCAGTCAGTCAGCTACAACGTAGGACCAGGCACATATATGCATCGGTCCAAGTTGCCATACCTCATTAACACAACAAAATGGACACTGGATTCATAAAAGTAGTTAATTCAGAGGTGGTAATATATAAAAGAAAGATTGCAATAAGAATATAGTGCAGGAAGAAAGAATCAGTTAGTGAAAAGAAAGATATGAAGCGATTTTAATCTCTTAGTTTAAGGGAAGACAGAGAGAGTATTCGCCTACGCCATTGTGATCGATTGTGAGCCATGTCACCAAGAGTCTCCAACCATTGGTTACGATAGTCACGCGGACCCCAACCAAGTAGTCTGCATCTACCAACATGGCTAAGACTAGAAGTTAGTGACTTCAAGCACTGATGCCACGTTTTGGTTTGGCCGCCCCTAACTTTCTTCTAACCATCTCCAACACCGGTTAGCATTGTACATCGTGGTAATCTGTGTTCGGGCATACGTAACACGTGGCCTAACCATCTCAGTAGATGAAGATTCATAACCTCATCAACTGATTTACCATCATTCCCTAATACCCTGCGTCTAACTTCACTATTACTTACCCGGTGATCTCAGCAGACGCCAACAATATTTCTAAGGCATCTGTGGTCAAATACTAGTAGCAACAACGGTCGGGACATAAAGGTAGAAATTAAATAGTAACTAATAATAGTGAAAAATGTATCTCACTGATAAGAATGTATTCTCTCATCTAAGGCTGGATACATCATAACCACTTAGATTGGATGTTCACACACTAACACTTTATAATATTTTCATTAATTTGTTAGTTTTTCGTAAGCTTAGCATTGCAACAACTTCATCAAATACAGTTTGAAAGATTGAATTTTGGTGTTTCGAGAACGAAAGAAGTCATTTGTTAACTATTACTATGGGGCAACAACACAATACTGCACTACAATAGTCTTAGTACAGCGAATATAAACAATACCAGTATCATATTATACCCTGCGTCTAACTTCACTATTACTTACCCGGTGATCCCAGCAGACGCCAACAATATTTCAAAGGCATCTGTAGTCAAATACTAGTTGCTTAAGAGTGTCTCCTACTCTTAATGGCCATGTTTCGCTGCCGTAAATTAAAACAGAACGGACTGCCGCGCAATATACTCGTCGTTTTATTGATAGTCGGATATCTCGCCTTCGCCATAGGTGACGTAAGTTGGCAAAAGCCGAGCGAGGTTTTCGAATCCGTGCTGAGATTTCGTCAGACACCAACCCATTAGGGCTGATCAGACTTCCAAGATAAGTGAAGTTGTCAACGCGTCCGACTACTCCACTCCCTATCCTTAGTTCGGGTGTTGACGCAATATGGTCTATTTGAGTCTATCGTTGGTTTGGTGTAGGGGGTCGCCATGTTCAGTTCTAACGGGTCTTCTTAGTGTGGTTTTTCTGCGTCCAGTGAGGCACAGGCAAATGTGTGCTCGTACTACAGCATCATCAGAGTCTAAACATGTACTCCAAAACGAGCTGAAGTCTTCTATCAAGCATCTCCAACGATGGTTGATGACAATATGGTCTATTTGAGTCCACTTTTGGTTTGGTGAAGAGGGTCGCCATGTTAGACGATGTCTCTCCTTATGCTTAGAATTTGTGTTTGCTAAAAATAAGCAATTGTCTGAGCACAGTTGCAGCAGATCACCATTATCTGTTCGTTGTGCTGGAATACTAAAATACCCACCTAAATGCCTTTCTGTTTGGTTTAAACTACCTATCTGGGCATTAAAGTCACCTGCTACGAGTACTATGTCTGAACGTTTAGCTTTCTGAAGAAGTTC